AGCTCTAGAGCCATACATCGAACTATACATGGACAAGATAAGAATGAATTCCAATCAGTATTGAAAGATCCGCGATTTTCCTCCCCCAAAGTTGCATAACAATTGCAGACGTGAGTCGATGAGTGTCTTCGTGAATGTCGCGTTCAAGCTTTGTTATTCATTGTTTTGTTCATTATCAACAACATCAAACTTGCGCGATGCCGCAACCAGATTCTAGCACCTCAAGGTGTTTCTATTCCTTTATTTTATTTTTTAACTTCATTTTATGTTAAACTTGTTATTAACATTGTTCATATTGATTAAAACAAGTTATGTTCTCCTTAACATACTCATTATTGGTTATCTCAATCGGTATATTCTTAAATCACATCTCGATAAATTCAACTTTACCATTTTTATTTTAAGCAAAATTTTATGCTGGGATTAGTTATTCCAATACACAAACTAAAAACAAACCCTATGATCAAAACAAAATTCACATGTACCCGGGAACGACGCCGTAATGATGAGCTGAGTACGTAGGGTTTGCGTGAGCTCTACTGTATTGGCAATTTCACCTGAAAGTCCCCATTTCCAAACCCTAACCTCCGTTTCTGTGCGAAGTAGAAGCAGCGAGAAAGAGAAAAATGGCAATTTCAGGAGATTTAAGGGTCTCCGCTACATTGGTTCCATACCCAAAGAATCCACTTCGAACCTCTTTACCTCCTTCAAAGGTTTGGCTTTTCATATCTTAACAAATTCATGTTTTTTTTATACGATTTTAAGTGAATTGTTTGTTGGGTATTTGTCAAGTTGTTAACTTTATGGGAATGTTATCTTCATCCCATCATTTTGCCAAATCTAAGAGATTGTGGAACTGTAATTTTTGAGGAAATTTCTATAGCTTTTTTTGGTACCTTTTTCTGAAATTTTGGTGATATGGGTCTACTTTAGTTTACAAGTAGTTGTGAATGAAGTGGGTTGAACATCATGAGGTTTCAGCTTCAAATTCCAGCAGAAATGAAAAAACTAGGTGATTTCTTCTCATCTATTCTAGTATGGGTAGATAGAGTTGCTTGGTTTCCTGTTGCTGTTGGGAGGTGTACAATGTACTCTTTTATAGTGAAAGATTCGTTCTTTTCTCCTTGGTTTTGAATGAAGAGTTCTAAGATTGAGAAGCTTTCAGAATTGGAGGGCTTAAGTGCTAGATGAGTAAGTGCTTGGTAACTATGTGAATTAGCTGTGTCCACCTACTGCTGATTAAGCTAAGCTGAGAACAGTAGCTAGGGCTAGTATGGTTGATGGAGTATGGAATTAGGCGACGAGCATCATCTGAGTAATGTCTAGCTAATTATTCAGGGATCTATTTAAGGATGCGTTTGGAGCTTTGGGACTTGTTAGGTAAAAGTTTTGCTTACTAGTTCTCTTTTGGCATACGTGAACATGAGTTGATCAACAGTGAAGGCAGGGATCATGAATCCCACTGCCTTGCTTGAGGTCTATATGTACACACACACACACACGTTGAAACTTTTTTAGAAGTATATTTATTCTCAATTGACCATTTTGCTACAAAAAAAAGTAGTGAGCTTAGAGGTACTCCACACCCCTGGCTTATGATTCTGGACCTGCTTTTGTGACAGAAGCTTGGGTAATGGTCCCATGTTGCTGGTGTGTGCGTATTAGGAAAGTTCCTGTATGGTTATTGATGACTAAATTAATTAGTTTTTTTTCCCTCTTTAAATAAGAGTTGATGGACATTATCTTAATCACCACTTTTCTTCTGGTTTACTTCATTTACAAGTGAAGAAAATGAACCTAGGGCCTATGCGACCTCAAAAGCTAGCTATGACATGAGGATTGTGCTAGACTGTGTACGGAGATAACATACCATTCCCTCAAATATGGGACCCCCCCTCCCCCACCCCCACACTCACACACACCCACCCACCTACCCAGACCGAGCTGGACATTTGGTACGTAGACAACATAACATGGGCATCCATTGGGTAAACCAAGAACAGAGATGAGTTTGGTTGTGATAATATCATCTAAAAAAATGAACCTTGGGCTTAATTCAACATGAAAAGGTAACTCATGAGGTAAGGATTGTCCAAGACTATGTGAGGAGATAACAACCCATTAACTCAAGCTCAACCAATGTTCTAGTGGAACAGAGTGCTTCCCACTGAATTGCTTGAACATTCACTTCACTTAATTTCCTTCTTTCTTGAGATGATGACTTTTCTGTTAGGACTTAGGACACAGTAAAGTTTTCAAAATTATCTCAATGCGTTGATTCGTTTGAGCTTGCGCTGTTGGGAACTTTGGTTGGTTTTTTCCCTTAATAGTTAACATTTTCTATGTGAATTTGATGCCTTAACTTCGACTAATTTTCATCTGGTCATGTTAGCATAGCCACATCTTTTTAGTAATTTGATTTGCTATAGGCATGTAGTTATAACACAGATGGTAATGCCATTGGTGCATGGCCTTTCCAGAAACATGCACCAATGACATTATCGGGCCTAAATATGTAGTTGTGGTCTTGTTGGTAGAGACCTCTTAAATAACACCTAATATGGTTCAATGAGGACTGAGTGGTTTACACTTCTGATACCTAATATTTGTGTTGCGGCATATTAGAGAAACTGGCTAGGTCCTATTTAAAAGAAAAGGCTAGACTTGGTGCCTGCTTGGTCTTCGTCTCTGTTGCTGAGATGGTTGAATTAGTTAACTGGGCCCTTAATGTGATTCACAGTTCAACTGGTCTTCTTCATTCTGCCTGGTACCAGGTCGATATATGCTCAAAAGTTGCTTCCTTGATTTCTAGTTTTAGTTCAATATTGTCTTTCATTTTCCCTCTTTGTATCTTAGAGCCCTAGCTAAATGTGAGATGTTGTGTCCAAGCTGGATCAGATGTGCTCAAGGTGTAAAATATTAATGGTCATACATTTGCATCAATTGTGTCCATGTGTGCGTCTCTGTAAAAGTACTTTGAACTCTTAATTCGTCAGTGGATATGCTTGTGCAATATGTTTATTCATTGATTCACCTGAATTTATTGTTTGCTTCGAATGTAGGACTGTATTTTTTTCCTTCATAGATGAGAGAAGCAATAAGATGGTTATGTTTATTTATTCCCCAACTAAAAACTTTTGCCGATATCCTTTTAAGTGCATTCTCTATATCTTTTGAATGCTAGCTCTTTCAAAGATTGGCTTATTGGTAAACCATGCTTGAATGTAGATTTTAACATTTGCATCTCTACTTCTGCTTTTTACTTCAGTTGTATCCAGAAAAATTGTAAGCATTGGGGAAATAATGGTTCCTACAAGCTGTGCAATAAGTAGGAAAGCGTATGCATCCTAGCATCTTGTAAACAATTTCATAAAATGTTCCTAAATTTTTGTGTTGTGTTCTCCCATTGATTGTATCATGACCACAATGAAAGATAATTTTATTGCACATTGCAGGTAGATTTTAGTGCCTTTCTTAATGGTGGATCTAGTTCCGCTGAGGTGTTACCCAAATGGTCTCGTCTATCATCTGATAGCCATAGCTTCCGATGCCACTCAAGAAAGCCTCTTGGGATCCTTGGAGACTATAAAGTAGCAGCAAGTTCCATCAGCCAGGAATTTGATAATTTACTCCTCAATGCTATCAGCATGAGCTTTTTTGAGCGCCTAAGCTTGGCTTGGAAGATAATGTTTCCACCATCCCCTTCGGCAAGTAATTCTGCTGCTAATATTGCTAAGCAACGCCTGAGGATGATTCTCTTCTCTGATAGATGTGCTGTCAGTGATGAGGCCAAACAGAAGATTGTAAGCAACGTTGTTAGTGCTCTCTCTGATTTTGTGGAAATAGAATCGCAGGAGAAAGTACAGCTGAGCGTCTCAACGGATCCAGACCTTGGGACAATCTACTCTGTCACAGTGCCAGTCAGACGGGTGAGATCAGAATACCAGGTAGAGGATCCAACTGGAACAATAACTAATGTTGAGTACAAAGACACTGGAGATAGTTCTGGTTCAGTTGATGTCAAGTTCGACTTTTACATTCCAGACGAGAATTTCAATGACTATGGTATGTGAAACCTTGACATGCCTTCACCTAACCGGAAAGTGGGTTGAAATGTCTTGTTTGTCTGGCATTTGATAAAAAAAATTCACCTTTTTAAACATACTAGTAGGTGGTCCTCCAAATATCATGTTACAATCAACTTAGATTGCTGTAAATATCTGAAAATCCCATTTGGAAGTGTTTGATGAATTTGCTAGTTTTGGTTACAACCCAAGACACTTTTGTAACAATTCGTTATATGAAACCATTGTTTTTAGACAAGTGTGAATCCTCAATGCATTTTTTGTGTTTGTAAAAGAGTCTTTCTGTTGCAAGAAAGGTATATTGGAAAAAGTTGGTTATCGGGATGAGATAGACAAGGATATTTCACCTTCTATATGAGATAGTTAATCCTACCATTTTGAGTACAAAATGGTTTTTTCGGCATTAATCAATACTCATAACTAAATGCAGGATAAAAGGTCGGGAATGCTTCTATGGTATCCATACATAGAGTACGCTAAAGATGCATTATCTATCCTGTATACTAATTTATCTACACAAAAAAAATAGTTAGACTATTTCGATTTATTTGTTGCAATTTTCTTATTTAGAAAATCAATACAATAAGTAAGAATTGTTGGAACAACTATTATTCTATCGCAATAATAGAAGTCGAGTGCTAATTTGGATGAGATTTGAGTGGTGAAATCTTATCGACCATGGATGAACAATGAGATTTTTTTGTTTTTTATCTTTTTAGTGAATCGATTGAATAGACTAAACGAGTTTAGTAGATTCAATAATAATAATAATAAACTCTCATGTAAATTTAACGCACTACAAATGGAGATATATATGACTTTTTCGAAAGTACATGAAAAAATATATGATATTGATAATTTACTAACAAATTTAAGAGAAATAAAATGTATTCAACAAAAAATATTAAACAGGTTTAAAAGAAAAAAACACGAAATTTTGGCAGTAATTAGGCGGGAAATAGTTGAAGGTTTTGTGAAGATCTCTAATGGCTTCGAGCTTTCGTCTTCCCTAGCACATCTCTGCCGTCTTCAGAACTCTGCGTTTACTTCAAATCGAAGTGTGGTTCTTCAGAGGGAAACCAGTCTCCGTATAATTTCCCCATTTTTAGGGTTCACAGCTCAAAAATAGTTTTTTTTTCCATTGTTTGACTTCACAATGAATACTTTTTCTCTGAATTTGGCTGACCCAATTCGGGACGCAATTTCAAGGATACGATTTGCTCCACATTCAAACAATCTGCTTATTTCTTCTTGGGATTCTGTAAGTAAATCCCCTACCTCTGTATAGAATAGAAAATTCGCCTCAATTTTATACTAGTTGGGTTTAGCTCTATTATCGAACTCTAGTTCATTTAAATGTAATGCAAAAACTTAATCTGCAGAGTCTACGATTATACGATGTTGATAGCTCTAAGCTTCGAATGGAAGCTCCCGGGGAAGCTGAGCTCCTCGATTGCTGTTTTGAGAATGAGAGGGTGTGCTTTAGTGCTGCTTCTGATGGTTCAGTTAACAGGTTTTTTCTCTTGAATTGTTGTTCTACTTGGGTAGTTTCTCTTGTCAAATGTTATTTTATCAACTCCCCGGCTACCCTGCACTGAGAGCACGGGTGGGCCCTTTCTTTTTGTATTGCATAAACTAAAGCGGAAAACTTTTCATGTGAGGAAAGAAAAAGGAAAAGATGAAGCTTTATACGCGGAGCTTAGAGCTAGAAATAGTTTTCTCATGTTTCCTGGTACATTGTCTGGGGAATGCATTAAATTTCTTATTATTGCGACCTGAATGTCTTTTTTTTGTGGATTGTTGTTCTTCCTAGGTATGATTTGGATTCAGGTATTAAAGTCTCAGTAGGAAATCATGATGATTCAGCAACCTGTGTTGAGTATTCTGCCGAAACATGTAAGATATTGATAACTCTGTAAATTCAATAAGGTGACTTCTTAACTTATTCATTAAATATTGCCTCAGAAAAAGACTTAACTCGTATTATTCAGAGCAATAGATTTTTGTAAATTTCAAAGCTAATGGGTTTTCCATAAGCTAATGGTTCTACTACGCACAAGAATTCTATTAATATGTCTTAATATGTTCCTAAAGTAGAGTATCTACTGATTAGTTTCTTAGTTGGACAACTTGATGTATTTGGATATATGTTCAACATAATGTGCCAAAATGGAGAGGACCAAAAATTCACTGATTTGCTCACATGTTTAGTGCTCTAAAGGGTATAGATATCGACTCAAGTTTCTCTTCTTAAATATCTTTTTCTTTATTTGTAGGTCAAATAATTACTGCTGGTTGGGATAAAAAGATAAATTTTTGGGATGCTCGTTCAACACAATCTCATGGATGCTTGAGCTGCTTAGTTTCAGAGGTGGAGTCAATGTCACTGTCTGGATTAAATTTGATGGTTGCTGCTGGGTCCTCAGTTAATTTATATGACATACGAAGTTTTAAGACTTCAGTTCACACGAAAGGCATGAAAGTAAAATGTATACGGCCAATTTTTAATCCTAAAGGTACTCTTACCCAAATTCTAATATCAACTATGTTGTGCTTCCAAGGTCCCCTCACACCCCTTCACCCCCACTGAACTAAAAAGAACGAAAGAACAAAAGGTTTAAGTGTCTTCTTGAAAGTTGAAGAATAGTTCTATTTAAAGATCTCTATTATGCATGTAAGTACTTCATTGTAAAGTGAATTCCCTAATCTGTTTAGCAAGCAAGGACAAACAAATCTCAGTTAGGAATTGCTACAACCTGTTAAGGAAGCAATCAGGTCAATGAGAGACTTCTTGGCAATGGAAGATGTTATGGAAGACTTAGGCTCCTGTTAAAGTAGCCTGCTTTGGGTGGGTAGCAACATGGGGGGCATGTTTAATACAGAATGATCTGCAAAAGAGGGGTTTTGTATTATGTAATAGATGCTGCTTGTGTCAAGAAGATCAAGGAACTGTTGAGCACCTGTTTATCCACTGCAGAGTTGCGAAACAATGCTGGGAGTTATTTCTAAGTGTCTGTGTGGTATTACTTGGTGATGCCTCAGAATATGAGAGGTTTATTACAAAGTTGGCTATAACAGGCTACTCACAAGGAGAACAAGCAGATATGGTGGACTATGCCGTTGTGCATTTTCTGGACAATATGGCTGGAAAGGAACAAGGCCTATTTTAAAGGGCATAAATCTCCGATATCTAGAGTCAAAGCTAGCTTTTTGCAGAATTTGTTCTTCTGGGTGTGGAAGTAGTTCAATAGGCAGTTTGAGCCAATTAATGGATTTTCTGGATTTGTTAGGAAGGAAAGTCTAGTAGTCTGTATTTCTTTCTGAAGCTTTATGTTGTTTTTGTAACCTTTTAGTACCTTCTTGGTACCCTATTAATAGAACTTTTTCCCTTATTAAAAAAGTACTTCACTGCAAATGATGTAGTTAATGACTTGCTTGAGGCGAGATTAAGCCTTGAAAGTAGGCATAAAATAGGTTGTTCTCTTCGCTCAACTTAAGTGGCGCTTTGGTTTAGTATGTATGTGTATCTTTCCCTCCAATTGTGCCTTTCTCCATTTAAGCCTATTCTTTATTAGCGCTTTGAGCTTAAAGCCCCAATGGATGTCCGCTTCTCTTTTTCTATCTTCTGCTTTTTGCCTTTGATAACATGACCACAGAAGCGCACCATAAAAAGAAAAGACTGCAGAAGGGTACAATTATGTTTTTTTTTTATGACAAGGGAAACCCGCAGCCGCTACCCTTTGGGTGCGCACAGGGTAAAACCCCCGCTCCTATGCAATAGCTTGCAATTTTTTTAGTCTTCTGCATTATCCATCTTATATTGTCTAGACAACAGTCAAAAATAGTTCTCCATTGCATGTTTCTATCTCCTGCTTATATTTTATCGTATCTTGTTTCAATTTCCTTTTGGATAACCTCTTTGTGCAGGATTTGTTGTTGGATCAATTGATGGGCGAGTTCTTCTGGAGTACATCTGCAAATCCAGCTCACATGAGGGGTCAGTAAAAGTTCATAGTACTGTTTTTTTTGTTTGAAAAGATGAAAGTTTGTAGTATATCAGACTACTTATGGTGATTCCATCCAGATTAATCAATTCACTATGTAAGAGATGTTAGTAGAAGTTTGATGCTGTTACTTAGACAGAGCAAATCATTATTGCTAAAGAACTTAGAAGAAATGGAAAAGTTTGAAAGGGCCTCTTCTTAGATCCTTGTTGATTCAACAGTAGGCCAACAGAAGATGACTTTGGCTTCTTAACTTTAATTTAGATCAAAAGAAGCACTTGATGAAAATCAAATCTGATTAAACAAAAAGAAAGATCGACAATTTATCAATGTAAATTGTAAATCTAGTAAAAACAGTAGGAATCGTCTTCTCTGAGCCATGTATCTTTTGGTTTAAAACTTCATACTTCCATAATTCTTTTATACTCTTGTCCATTTTGGTTTATGGGTAGCGTTGCATGTTGGTGAAACTATAACTTCTCTTTTAAGTGACAGATTCAGACATTCTGTAGAAAAATGAAATCGTTCAGCAACTGAAATTTCTCAGTATATGGTTACTATGGATTTCTTATCCTAAAAACTCTACTTTTGTGGATCTCTTAATTAATTTTGTTTCTACTTTTGTAGGTACGCATTTAGATGTCACCCAAAGGTTAAAGATGGGAGACGTCATGTTGTAACAGTTAATGACATTGCATTTAACCCATCGTATGTGATTTTCCAGTTTCAGCCTTCTGTTATTGTTATAATAGAAGTTATATTCATAGTAACTTTTCTTTTCCCAGCATTACTGGTTCATTTGTTACTGGTGACAATGATGGCTATGCCACCTTGTGGGATGCTCGAGGAAGGAAACGGATATTTGAGGTACTCTTGTTCGTTTATCAATCAGATATTGCATAAGTTCCCCCAAAAGTGATAATACAGTTATAAACTAGTAATTGCAGTTTTGATATCACTTGGTTGACGTCATGGTTTTGACAGAAATCTTGTGCTTCTGAAAACCGAATGAACAAATCTCGTCATTTATATGAGTAACATGCCAAAGTAAAACTTGCCAGTTAATCTCTAAATCCACTTTTATCGCGCATTCCTCTTTAAACTATTGCTTCTGTTTATTTTCCATTTGAGATTTGCTGTATAGCTATTTGCTTATTTCAACCAATTCATGGATCTCAGTCAATTTGTACGGTGTTTCCCTCTTTAGATGTCAAGATATCCCAACAGTGTCGTCTCTCTATCATATAGCCATGATGGATTACTTTTAGCAGTCGCATCCAGTTATTCATACCAAGAAGCTAACGAAATGTAAGGCAAACTTGTTTAGTCATCTTCTTATTATGTGAAAATTGGGTATGTTCTTCGCTATCCTCCCTTTTATAACCCCTTTAATTTGTTCAACTGCCTTTAACAGAGAAGAGCCAGCTCAGATATTTATACATGAAATAGGGAACTGTGATCTGACGTCGCCTTCTTCAGGAGCTTCAAACAAAAAATGACTGCTAATACACAACTCAGATTATGGTTGTTGCTTGTCTTTCCTTATGTAAGTCATCTTGTTTACGAGATACTGTACTTATCAAACCCTTATAATATTTGGTCTCTGATCACAAATTCTGCTCCCCCTCATTATTTTCTATTTTAAGCTAGCTCTTAAACAGCAAAATCTGCTGGTAACTGTGTACAAGTTGGCTTTTCCTCGCTCACCTTCTGTGATGGTTATTTGATTCTGACTGATATTACAAGGAAAGGGACTCAACACAAACTTGGACGCGCTGGAGTGTAGAATTCCCACTGATGTAAACATCATGTCCAGTTGATGTATCGGTGTCTAGCATATCGTTTGCTGAGTGGAATGTATTTTTTGCTCATACCAAAATCTCTTTTGAATTGATTGATTTGAGCCTAGTTTTATTCAAATTGATTTACTCTATTTCAGATGGAGCTTTATATGTTTTAGCTCCTCACATGTGTAATGTGAAGTAACCCATATTTTCCTTTCTTCAAGAATCACATGTTATATTCTTTTGCTTGAAATATTTCTTTAATTAAACCCTTTTTCTTTTCCTTGTATTTTTTTCATGCAAAATATTAGTCATGTTAAAGAACAATTAAGCTACCAGTGTTGATTATTCTTTGAAACATGTACGATTGTAGTAACTTTAAAAAATTAATATGGTGACCTCTTAACATATTCTTTAAATAAATATTACCTTGAAGAGAAACATATAAATTCATATATTTTTAGAGCAATGATAGTTTATTTTCTAATGATGTTTGGTATTTGTAAGTAAATTTGATTAATCACCAATTTTTTTTTGACCTGGGAAAAATCCGAGGAAGAAATAAGAAAGTAATACTACAAAAGATTGTCCCCTTGGGCTTTCATCAAGCGTAACGCGTGATGTGTGGATTAGACACACGTCATAAGTAAAGAAGGGTATACAAATGGGCCCATTATCCATTTTTTAAATTTGTAATCCAATCTCTCACACCACAAGGGAGAATCTTGAAACGCAAAATGAATGAAATGACAGAAACTAAAAAACTAAGGAAAAATACACAAATTGCCACCTAAACTTGCCCAAAAAAAAATACATTAAGTTGTCACCTAAACTTGTCCGGAAAAGCTATTTTTCAGACAAATCTTCTTACAATGTTTATTGTCAAGGATTACAAGTGTTGACCTGAGTTGTAATCTTCGTTTTTCATCTGTTCTTTATTAGTAGGCCCTAATTAAGTTCAAGATTTTACACTAAAATAAGGATTAACTACCCTGTCTTGTGACACTTCAACTGTTGATTCCTACTAACTTTGTCTACTGACACTCCAACTGATTGATTCCTCCTAACTTATCTATTCACATTTGCAACTATATATTGACTCCTCAATATTTGCAGTTCATCAATAGAACACACATCTTTTATAGTTACTCATCTTTTTCGATTTGCTTCTGCTATATAGTAGAAGATGAGAAATTGGAACTTTCTTGGATTTCTCTGTCTTGCTTTCGTATTGAGAGTTGAATCTTTAAAATTTCATAGGAGTGATCAACACGTTGAAAGAATCTCCGGAAGTGCTGGTGATGTGTTGGAGGATGATCCTACAGGTAGGTTGAAAGTTTTTGTATATGAGCTTCCAAGCAAATATAACAAGAAGACTGTGCAGAGGGACTCGCGATGCCTCAGTCACATGTTTGCTGCTGAGATATATATGCATCAGTTTCTGTTATCCAGTCCTGTTAGAACACTTGATCCAGAGGAAGCGGATTGGTTTTACACTCCAGTTTACACAACTTGTGAGTACTTGACACCACATGGTCATCCTTTACCTTTCAACTCACCACGTATGATGAGAAGCGCGATTCAGCTTGTTGCTTCTAGCTGGCCATACTGGAACAGGACACAGGGGGCTGATCATTTCTTCATTGTACCACATGATTTTGGTGCATGTTTCCATTTTCAAGAAGAGAAAGCTATTGGAAGAGGAATTCTCCCGTTGCTCCAGTGTGCTACCTTGGTTCAAACTTTTGGACAACGGAATCATGTTTGTTTGAAGGAAGGATCGATAACTATTCCTCCATATGCTCCTCCACGGAAAATTCAATCTCACTTGATCTCTCCTGATACTCCAAGATCCATATTTGTCTATTTTCGAGGCTTGTTTTATGACAAAAGAAATGATCCTAAAGGCGGGTACTATGCAAGAGGTGCTCGAGCAGCAGTGTGGGAGAACTTTAAGGACAATCCACTCTTTGATATTTCTACAGATCATCCAACTACATACTACGAAGACATGCAACGAGCTATCTTTTGCTTGTGCCCTCTCGGATGGGCTCCATGGAGTCCTAGATTGGTTGAAGCTGTTGTATTCGGATGCATCCCCGTTATAATAGCTGATGACATTGTATTGCCATTTGCTGATGCCATTCCATGGGAAGATATTGGATTGTTTGTAGCGGAGAAGGATGTTCCATATTTGGATAACATTCTTACTTCTGTTCCACCACAAGAAATACTGAGGAAGCAGAGATTGCTTGCCAATCCTTCAATGAAGCAGGCTATGTTATTTCTACAACCTGCTCAACCAGGTGATGCTTTCCACCAAATCTTGAATGGACTTGCTCGTAAATTACCCCATCATTACAAGACCATATACGGAGACAACAACGTCTTAAACTGGACTGCTGGTCCAGTTGGTGATCTAAAACCTTGGTAGGATCAAGCTGAACCTCAAGATTTACTCATTTGTTGACTTCCATGTATGCTTATAACGTTTATTTATTTGTTCTATGTTAATTTTATACACAGAAGAAAGAGTTTCGTCCATCAAAGGTTCAATAGACACACACAATTGTTGTATAGTACAGTAGAATATAGTATACAGCATTCCCACACACCCTCTTGACCAGGGAAGAACTAACTAGAAGGAGAACTTTATTGGTGAACTCGACTACTCGAGTTCCATTGTTTTAGATTTCCAAGAGAAACTCCAAAATAAAAGCATCATTGTGGATAAAGCAAATAAAGGACACAAAACTACACATACTTGAGAAATAGTAAGTTGTAACTCCTACTTTTGTTCTTTGTCAATACTCATACCAAGGACAGTTGATTGATTTAAAAACTTTTAGGATAAAAGAACAAAGTCATCTTCAAATATTGGATCACAGTACAGGGATATATATATATAGATCTGAAATGTATAATATAAGGGATAAGACACAAGTAGCCCTTAGACTATAACCGAAAACCCTGAGACACCTTAACTAAACTAAGGTCCTATTACCCCTAACTCATTTTTTTTAAAATTTCTTACACCTTTTGGCTTACGTGGCACACTCCGTGACTCCATGCAATTGAGGCCCGTGGGAAATATTTGGATGCCACGTAAGCCAAAAAAGTGTACAAAATTATAAAAAAAATGGGTTCAGGGATAATATATAGGACCTTAGTTTAGTTAAGGTGTCTCTGAGATTTCGGTCATAGTCTAAGGGGTACTTGTACCATTTTCCATAATATAACAATATGTGTTTTGGAGAACCAAAACACGAAAAAGATTGAACACAGTAACATAATAGAGAATTGACTCAAACTCTTCAACACAGTAACATAATAGAGAATTGACTCAAATTCTTCTTCCTTTGCTTCTTTGTTCCCTAAAACAAACCAAAAAAAAGAGAACTGTCAACAACTCCATTGCACAATTGCTTTGCGAAAGCTCAAATACTTGGCCTCCATCCTATTCATAAAAAATTCACATTTGAAAAAGAGCTAGCATTTGAGATTTATTTGGTAATCTACTTATTTGTTGGCCTTGTTTTCAAAATCGAGTACTATTATTTAGTATTCTCCCTATTCCATGAAGTTAATGACGAATCAACGACATTATTAACATCTAGTTGAGACTTGCACAGATTCAATAGCAATACTTACATCTCACAAAGATATAAAATCTTCAAGATATAATGTTTTGACATGTGATTTCTATTGCTTGTATTTATCATATTATAAGCTTGATACATATCTGATATCTGGAAAACACAAGTTAAAGATATGCAAAATTTTGTTTTCAAGCTCTTAGTCCAATAGAACAGTTATACTTTGAACCTCAAATGTCAACTCAATTTGGTTATCAAATATGCATCATGTTGAGTCACTGAAGTTAAATATGTGTCTTTATATATGTACTATCTTATAGAGTTGTTTTTCTTTACACACTTTTTGTGTAAGACATTTTTTTTTTAAAATAGAAAAGGATAGAGATAGAAAAAGAAGAAAATGAGTAAAATAGCAAAACCTTCATTTTCATTTCTCAAGTGTGGACTTTCTAGTTTCTACTGAGTTTTGTTTAGATTCTATACACATTAAGTAAACTTTAAATAGTCCGGTTAGGACTTAGGTCACACTATTGTACGATGGAAATTAATGTGGTAAATATAGTTTCTTAGATCATAAAAATTTAGAACAATTATAATCTAAAATTTCAAAATTATGATTTTAGTTGATATCCATATAAAAAGGATAGCTTGACTATGATTTTCCATTACACGAGACACTTATGTGAACTGATTATAAAAAACTTTGAGCCAATATTAAGAAAGGTATATGCAGAGACTTAACATTGTCTGATGAAACCAATTTATACAATTTTTGAGGAAAACAGATTGTCATGAGAAATATCAACTTTGAAAGTATTTTTTGTCATTTTTAAAGGTGTGATTTACTTTGTTATGGAATTAGTAGATACATTTTCTAAAATGTTACATATTTGTCTACGTAAGTACGTATAGATTGTTATGAGAAGAGAAAGAAATGTATATAATGTTATATAAAGTATTTAAATTAGATGAATCAAATTAACTTTATTCATTAATGAAGTTGGAGTTAGGCGTGGCTCAAATGTTTTGGAGTTGGAACTCAGGGTCGAAATTCTTTGCAATACACAACAGGGAGTTGGCCTTAATTCTGAGTTACAAGGCTTATCTAGTGATTTTTTTTTATTTTTTTTTGTGTGATTTGCAAGCTATTGCACAGAAATTAAGAAATTATTCCATTTGCCACCAAAGCGAAATTATGTGAGTGTTCAATATGTAGGAAACTAGGGGCGTACAAAACCAAACCAAACCGCAAACCGAGTTAAACCGAAAAAAAACCCGACTAGTGGTTTGGTATTGGAAAAAAAAATCCGACTATATTTGAGTTGGTTTGGTTTTTAACTAAAAAAATCAACCCGACATTATATATGTAATTTTAAAATTTTATTTTATACATAAAAATATTTACTTTGATATAATTTAAAAATATTTCTTATACTATTTCATAGTTTTATCTTTTTAATATATTATTTCAAGTTTTAAAAACTTAGAATTTCGAAAATGGTCCAATAAAGATTATTGTTCATAGATGTTGATAATTATAATAAAACTTAAATCAAAATCAAATTAATACTAATGCAAAAAGAAAATCAATTCAACACTAAGAATGACAATAATAGTTGAATATTTGTTCTTTAGTTTTACATTAGACAATTAAATACATAATCTCTATTTTAATTTTCCTTAAATATTTAGTAATGTAACTAATACTTATTAAACTTATTTTAGCATGATTTAGTACTTTTAAATTATGATCATTTTCATTATGACTTTGCAATATTTATTTTATATGATGATTTCATCATTATTTTTTATTGAATATTTTAGTGTCACAGTACTCATCTCATATTTTGTGTTATTTTCTTAAGAAACACCTTAAATAATTGTATTTTGGTTGGACTAAAGAAAAATTTAAAGCACAAGTTAATTATATGTTTGTATGCAAACTTTACCGAAAAAATTCAAAAATCTAAAAAAATCCGAGGTTTATTAGTTTGGTTTGATTTAAAAATTTAAAAATTCTACACAATGGTTTGGTTTGGTATTTGTAAAACCCAAACCAACCCGAGGTTGAAAAACCTGAAAAAATCCGAATTTTATTAGTTTGATTTGGTTTATAAATTTAAAATTTTTACACAAATGGTTTTGTTTGATATTTGAAAAACCCGAACCAACCCGGTCATGTACACCCCTAAAGGAAACTATTTTCTTGTAAAATATTTTACAGAAATATAAAATTTTCTTATTTATTTTCTTCTGTTTGAGATGTAAACAAAAAATAATAATATACTAAATGTATTCATATATAGTTTAAATAAATATTATAAAATATTAAATTGAGGGTGGTAGAGATGAGCATTACTTGGGTAGGTGAAAATGAGTGTTGCGGCGTTAAGTGTTGGAGGTTCGGCATAACACTGTCAATATGTTATGTCATTAGCTTATGAAATTTGTTTTCTCGACTTCCATTATAGAAGTCAATTTTCATAAACTTATTTTCCTAAGAAAATAGTCAGTGAAACAATAATTTGCCAAATATAAACTAATAAACTATAAAGTAGTCTAAACGATTAATGAGTTTAAAAGGTTGAAAGAAAAAAAAAACAGGAGGTCCCCCTAATAACATAACTACTATGTAGCTAATAGAAAATTTGGTAAACATCCATTCCGTAGTAAATGCTTAACAAAGTATAGTTGGACTTTTTTTCAATTTATCTGTCGGTTTTGATTTGACACAAAGTTAAAAAAAAAGGTATTGAATTTTATAGTATTAAATTAAAAATACATATAAATATCAAAATATGATGATTTTAAACATGTCACGTGAAAAGTTAAAATTAAGAAGTTTCCAAAAAAAGACGTTCTTTTTCATAAATTAAAAAAAAGACGAATATGGTATAATAGGTAATGTTACTAATTACATTAATCTCTCTTCACACTCATTATAGTAAGCATACAAGTGGATTTTAAAAAAAAATTCAATCTTGATTTTATACAATAATTACTTATTTTGAACTATTCTTTTTTAGTAACCATAAAAACTAAATTAATGGTAATAAAATCCAAACACCTACACACATATATACTTTCTTGCTAAAACTTGAGTAAGCACTTGAAATTAGTCCCTCATATAGTAATAATAATAAAGTAAAACAGGTTGTTAATTAGGATCATTAATTATTGAGTAGCTAATTTAGAGGAGTTTGGCATAATTAATTATTAGTACCCCATGTAGGACATACTCGAATAATTCATTAGAACCTAATTGTAACGTACTTTGCACTTAAGTAGGCTATACTATAACATTGAGATTGTAATAACTCTTTATATTAATTATGTGATTTAAAAGTCAAAAAGAGGATTATGAGCTCTTAAGATGAATTTAAAGTTGGCAAGTTGGCCTCAACTTCAATAGAAAAACACAAATAAAGCATGCAAAATATTTAAATATGTTTTTTTATGGTTATATACAATATTTTATTCTAGTGGCTGAACAATGATTGCCAACAAGAACTAAAGAGGATAAATACCATTGAGGGTTGCGATAGTGTTAAAATACTTCATCATTTTAATTATAGAGTTAGGAGAAGGCGAGGTAGTGGCAAGGTCTGCGTACACTTTACCCTCCCCAGACCCCACCTAGTGGAATTTCACTGGGCATGTTGTTGTTGTTGTTGAGAAGGCGAGGGTATTCATTTATATCTCTTTGACGAAAAATCATTATGTATAAATAGGCTATTTTAAAAAATATATATAATAAAACAGTGCATAGTTTTTAAAATGTACTATATATACATTTACATAATTAGTTGTGATAAGGACATATTCATTTGTTTTTATATTATTAATTTCCTTTGATCATGATTTTTATCAAGTTTTGAAATGAAGAACAATTTTATAAAATTAAAGTTAAATCTATTTTGACTAGTTGCTCAAATTACATTAAATTTTCCTATTTTTAAGTATTCATTTGTTTGTACATTTATTTAAGGAAATTTAGCCATTATTTGGAGTAAAGAAAATTATAGAAAAAAGTATTTGATAAGAGACAAAAGAAAAACACACTTTTGTATAATTTTTGTTTTTGAAAAAAATAACTGATAAATCTATTTTCCTTGAAAGTCTCCAGATAATCACACAGTCCCATGTTTTTCTAAACTTATTTGTATGATTAAATACAAAGATTTGTCCTATTAGCATATTAAGACGTTCTAAAATTTTAATTTTAAAAAAAATACAAGTTATTGTATTCGTATAAATTATTTTAATATATAGAAAAAAAGTAAATTTTTAATATGAATATAAAATTTTATTTAAAATTATTGAGTTGGGTCGAATTTATAAGATGGTAATCAAAATTTAACTTCTTATGGCATGTTTCCAAGATTTCATTTCCTTTTGCCAACAACTTGACGATAACGTCATTTATATTTAAAAAATAATTCTTCACCAAAAAAATAAATATTTATCATCGTTAAATACTTATAAAATATAGTATAATAGTATGTCATATGTTTTACTTATTTTTATTTTTATTTTAGATATAGACAAAATATTAATAACAACATTAAAATTGAATATACTAAAATGAGTGCCTGCACTTCACCGACAATCTCTTCATCCTATGAATTGGTAATTTTGGCAAAAATTATACTAATGTTTATTTGGATTTCTGTTTTGTCTTATATATACTTTTTGTTTTGCTTATATATACTATTAATAATAATATTTCTCTAAAGTTATGCATAGTACTTCCTTTGGACGATCCATTTTAATTATTGTACTTGTAATAAATAACTAGTCCAACGTAATACGATTATTTAAAAAAAAATTAAGATATTATTATTATTAATTTTTGTTTTTGCTTTTACTTAATAAACATAGAGGAACATGTGGTAAAAAATATATTAATTTGAGGTTGATGAATAAATAAAATAATTTAGTGATTTTTTTTAAAAATGATAAGTAAAATAGAAAAGGGTCAAAATTGTTGTTGAACTATGTGAAATTGAACAAAAATATCTTTTGTTAATAACTTGATTTAAATATGTCTTTATTGTCAATACTTTGATCTTACATGCCCATATTGTTACTTTTGGGTCAAAAGTGTCATTTTCATATACTATGTTTATTGATTCGATGTAAATGTTGAATAATAAATATAGCTACGATAAGTAACAATAGAAAACAAAATAAAGACTTTTACCTAAATATTTGTATTTAAGATCATGTCATCAATGAATTAAAGCTATATCCTAATAAATGCCTCCTTCAATTCTATTTCAAATTCATAAACAAAGACTAGAATGACAATTTGATGTTAAATTCCTTTTCAAGAAAATAATTGAGTTTAATTGTGTGGTGTAAAATTCATGAAGCAATTTATTTATTTATATATAAATAAAATGTGACAACAAATTTAGAAATTAGAGTCTAAAACGTGGGGACTAGTAGCCAGACTGTGTTTGTTGTTGTGTGATTGTAGATTCCCTTATGCTCCACGGCAACTCTTAAGTCGTCGGGGACTACAACTAATTTCACGCCACATTTAATATTTTAAAATACTAACAAATATCCCATATTTTACTCTTTTCCTATGTTCAAAATCATCTCAGTTTTGCTTCTCTCATCTTGTCGGTAACATAGATCACTCCCATCTCTCCCGAATAACCTCATTTCGAATCTTGTCACTTCCAGTATGCCCATACATCCATCTCAACATTCTCATCTCTTACAACATGCATCTTCTGTTTAGGTGCTACCTTCTTATCATACAATACTCCAAAGGCAAACTTCCATTTTATCTATGTTGTCTCAAACGCGATATGTGACGTCATCGTCATATTCTTATACTTACATATGTATCTAAAAGTTGTAGTTGTTATTGTCCACCTAACCTCAATTGGAGTTTGTCAACGTTTAAATTGGCTGTCGAAAAATAGATACCGATTAGTCGGAGATTGTTATACATATAATATGCAGTTCACATATACTTTACGGACAACTAATCTCCTATACAGTTGATCAATACAATGTACATACAGTTTGAAAACACATACTTTGAATATAGTTAGCCTCAAAATCGAGTGAAAGATCAGATGAAAAATAAATAATGTACTACTTATTTTCAGTAATAATATCCAAACAAACATTTAAATTTGGTCTCGATTGACAAGTACATAGTCCAATTTTGAGTATGCATATCTAGACATCTCAACTTATCTCTATTGTATCACATGAATATTCCAACTTACAAATTGATGATCTACACACCTTTTAAATTTATGTGTCATATTAGCGCAAAGGTATCTACGAGATGAAATTAAAGTATTTACTTATCAATTGAAATCAATTTTAAAAATTTAAATGTAAACTTCTAAATTAAAGTACTTACTCATTAACCAAATTCAAAGTTAAATATCTATTTATATATTACTATATTTTGTATGTGTTGAACTTGTATAGTGTATTCTATATCAAGACAAAAGAAAAAATATACTTATGTCTTATATGATTGTTTATTTAACTAACAAAAAGAAAAAAAGAAAAAGGTGAAAATGAGCAAAACTGCAAAGCCTCCATTTTCGTATAAGCAAGCGTGGACTTTCTAGTTTCTACTAAAAGTTTGTTCAGATCCTATCCTATACACACACCTTTCTGTTTAATTTTCTTTTTCTCCAAATTGAAGAGTAAACTCCAATCATCAAATCTGTACACAAACACCCACTTTTTCCAACAATACTACAACAAAAATCAAGTTTTTTTTTTTTTTTGATAATTTACAGAGAATTACAAGGAAGAAATGCTAAATTAATTTTCTACATATTTGTATAAGAAGAAAAAAAAAATACCCAGAAATTATGGCCGAAAATGAAGGATCATCATCTTCTTCAACGTCAAGAGGTCAATTACTCCGTCCAACTATTACTTTACCGCCGAGAAGTTCTATTGAGAGTCTATTTTCAGGCGGGTCAAGCGGTATTAGCCCGGGTCCGATGACCCTTGTATCCAGTTTCTTCTCCGATAACGATCCAGATTCTGAGTGTCGTTCATTTTCACAGCTTCTCGCCGGTGCAATGACACCTCCGGCGGGTTTTACCGGTGGTAGACCGGGTTTCCCGCCACTTCCGCAACCATCTACGGCGGCGATAACTCAGTCACCGACTACGTTTACTGTGCCGCCTGGATTGAGTCCAACTAGTTTGTTTGATGGGTTCTTCTCACCTGGGCAGGTACTTGATTAAAGTTCATAACTTTATTTTCCGATTTGTAGATTATTGATTCAACCTCTAAGGTTTATAGCATGAACACAATACAGTTTTTGAATTTGGATTCATAATTTTAGTGTTTTGTGACAATATGTCAATCTATGGATGCTTGGTAGATTTATGTGAGGTTCGCACGAGTTGACCTGAACAACGATATCATTAAAGAATCGATTTTTGGGTTTGCAAGTGTTAGATTAGTTTTGAGGTATTTTGGGATAGAGAGGTTGTTTCCGATTGACGGGCTCAAAAGAAAGGAAAACAAAACATGTTAAGTAGCCAAGATGGAATAGAATCCAATAATTGTTACCATAATTAGTAACTATTTTTTTGGCTTTAATTGCTGAATCTTTATGTAGATACTAATTAAGTTGTTTTAGCATTAATGGTTGATTTTAATAGTTTGTTAGCATAGCAACTGTCATGACGGGTGTGTGCCTTATTTTCCCCGGAAGAATCTACTGTAAGTGGCAATGATTTTTAAGGCACTGTAGTGGCATACTGGATCTGGGAAAAGGAATTATTTCCTAAAAGCTTTGAACTTTACTGCCAAAAGTGCATTTCCTTTATATCTGGAGTGTGCATTTTGATGTTCCTTGACTAAGGTATCTGACTCACTTGAGAGACATTATTCTAGTTAGTAGTACGAAATATCAGAGTAATGATCTTCGTTTTCAGTTCATTTAATTGAAGCATATCCTCGTCCAGGCTCTTTCTTTTGTTTATTCTACCTCGTGCTTTAATCATCCGAGTTACATGCCCACCCCACCTCCACTGTATCTATTCCCAGGTGGTCCTAAAAATGAAAGAACCTTTTCTCTCTCCAACCATTTCAGTGTAGGAAAGAAGGGGAACCACGACAAGTTTTCATACACCTAGGCCTAATTCCATCAATGAATCATTCTAGAATGAGTTTAGGGAGACTAGTCTAATCTTATTCTACCTTAGAAAATCAGTGCCACAGTCACATATAGACCCAAAGTAGTCAATAAAAATGAACTCTTCTCTTTGCAATCGAATCAGGTCACTTTATGTTTCAAAGACAGGGATTGACGCCACTTCCACTTGTCTCTATCTGCCCTTTCCCGGGGACAAGTTAAAGTCTCTATATGTACAGATCCTTGCTCATCTCCTCTATGACTGCTTATCAAATAGAAAAAAAAAAAAGATCGAGGGCTATAGTTGAAATTATAGCATTTCTTGAAGGAAGCAAAAAAAAGAAAAAATCGAAGTCTCAGGAACACTGTACTAACCTTCTTTGATTCATTAAGCTGTCCACTTGAATACCAGCTCAAGATGGCTGGAGCTATGTACATAGAAACAGATGTATGGCATTGTGCTGTTAATTTGTTGGAATAAAGTTACACGGGAAGAAAGTTTCTGTTTCCAGTAGTTCAGACGAAAGGAGGAGGTTGACATTCAAGACAATTCTTCTTGTTGCAAATTGGAAGCTTATGTCCATGGCAAAGACAATTCCTGTGTAATGAAAATTGTACTTGGGATGTCACTATTCTTCATTTATTTCTATTACTTGTTGCATAGGTGAATGGATTGCCAATACTTTGACGTATGCCATTGTCAAGACCTGTTCTGATGTCTGTGTCAAGGTTTAGAAGTGTTTTAACGGAATTCCCTATGTAATCTACTAGAGAGAATTATCTTTCAAAGGAGAACTACGTCATGCTAATTAACAATTACTGAAGCTTGCCATTTTGCTTCTTCCTTGAGTAATAGCGGCAATATGATTGAAGTATAGGTGATATTTGATAACTTACGAAACAGCCCTTGGAGGTTTGAGATAAAACATGTTGTTGCTACTCTGAATCTTCTAAGGATATTTTGAGACTTGACTACTGGACTAATTGGGAAAAACATGTTTCTCCAGATAGATTAACATGTACAGTAGTTGTTTTCCTCTCCGCTATCCTTGACACTACACTAGCAACTAAACTATGAGCAGAACGCTCTATTAATTAGTTTCTGCTACATGTGAAATGATATTGTTATTAGTTTAATTTGAATTTGCTTGTCCAAAGTTAGTTATGTATCTTCATTTGACAGGGTCCTTTTGGAATGTCACATCAGCAAGTGCTTGCTCAACTTACATCTCAGGCATCCCAGGTTCAGTCTCAAATGCACATTCAGCCTAACTATCCATCTTCTGCAACGGCAGCTGCACCATCAATGTCACAGTTCCAGTCCTTACCATCAAATGCAGCAGCAAACCGACAGATACCTCCCACTTTGGATCCTAACATCGTGAAAGAGTCATCAGATGTTTCCCTATCTGATCAGAGGTCAGAACCTGCTTCCTTCGCTGTTGACAAACCTGCTGATGATGGCTACAACTGGCGGAAGTATGGGCAGAAGCAGGTCAAGGGAAGTGAATATCCTCGTAGCTATTACAAGTGTACAAATCCAAATTGTCCAGTCAAGAAGAAGGTTGAGCGCTCCCTAGATGGCCAGGTGACTGAGATTATATACAAGGGCCAACACAACCATCAGCCACCTCAAGCTAGTAAGCGTTCAAAAGAATGTGGAAATCCAAATGGGAACTATAATCTGCAGGGGCCCTATGAGCTCAGCTCAGAGGGTCTGACAGGAAATTTTAACAAACCCAAGGAGGGCGAACCTTCCTACTCGTTAAGAATGAAGGATCAAGAATCCAGCCAAGTAAATGATCAGACCTCTGGCTCAAGTGACAGTGAGGAAGTGGGTAATGCAGAGACTAGAGTGGACGGAAGGGACATTGATGAACGGGAATCAAAGCGGAGGTACTTCCCTAATTCCCTTCATTCTTAGCACTATTTTAGTGATTGTTTTGGCTTCCGTGTCTATTTTTACAGAGATTCTTCTTTTAACATATCTGTACATTGCAGGGCTGTAGAAGTACAAAGTACAGAGGCAGCTTGTTCTCACCGGACTGTTGCAGAACCTAGGATCATTGTTCAAACAACTAGTGAAGTTGATCTATTGGACGATGGTTATAGGTGGCGAAAGTATGGTCAGAAGGTTGTTAAAGGAAACCCTTATCCAAGGTAAAATGTCCGTCTTATTTTACTTCCTTATTGTCAATGAACAACTCTGTGATATGGAATCCCCTGTCCATTTGGTGTGTTCAGCTTGTTTGAAGAGGGGAATTTGATGAATTCCATGATAACAAGAAATCAAAATTAATCGTTCGATATCTGCTCGTTCTCGACCCTTCAATTCCCAATGAACAACATGACCTTGACCTATCATTTGTCCAATTTGGTCGATTTTATACTTAACTTTATTCTTTTATCTTTTATGTTTATACTGATACCTAATCAATCTCGAACCTAAATGGCTTTTTAGGTCCAATTCCATCAATTTTGTTGATAAAGTGAACCTTCAATATAAATTTTAGTTGTAGAGCCTTCGTGTTTACATTCGCCTTCCTATTTATGTTACGAGAGTATGTTTTTACAATAACCTTGGGAACTTTTGACTTTCATTGCATTTAACCACTGGTGTCATATATCTTGGTTGCTGCGACCTTCATTTCTGCAGCATTCATTTAGAATTCTATGTTTCAAATGAAGTGCTGCGGTATCCCTTTGCCTCTGTATGCCAGTATCGAATTAGCTAATCAGTGTCCATATAACTCAACAAGTGCATAGTCAGCTGCCTTGTTATTTTGCTTGCCATGATTTTTACACGCCTTGTTATTTTCCGCAGAAGCTATTACAAATGTACTAGCCAGGGATGTAATGTAAGAAAGCATGTTGAACGGGCTGCAAGTGACCCTAAAGCAGTCATAACAACATATGAAGGTAAACATAATCATGATGTGCCTGCAGCCAGGAATAGTAGCCACAATACTGCCAATAATTCTATGTCACAATTGAGGCCACACAACCCTGTAGTTGATAAACCAGCTGCAATGCGAAGAGCGGACTTTCAGAGAAATGAACAACAACCTATAGCGCTTCTACGCTTCAAAGAAGAACAAAGTACATGATTTATCAAATCTTCATTCCAGCAAGGTAATCAACATGGCAGCCAGTAGATGGCTGTAATTTATTACTGAATGGTTCTAGTTCTCGCGTTTGCAATGTTGATGATGGTCTCTCCCAACAATCATGAAACGAAAATGGTACAGAAGTTGCGTTGACACGAAATAATGGGTCAGGAAGGAGTGGTTTGAATATAAAATTGTTTGTAAATGTTCTCAAAAGGGGCATAGAGTTGTTAGCTATGGTATTTCTATATGCATTCTTTCTGTAAATGTTTTTATATTCCCACATGTTTTGGTCTTTTATCTTGTAATCGTTTTATAATTAGGCCTTTCATCTGAATCTGAATGATGTTGCATTAAGTTTTTGGACAAATCTTCTTTCTGTTATGAATTTATGATTCTTAATATTTTATTTAGTAGGGTTGAAATTGAATCTGCTTCTAGTCTAAATGAGTTGGTAAAGTGTTAGTATGTGTGCCTTTTTGTTTTCTTTTTATCAATTTTTTTATCTAGATTTTAACTAGTTGTTTCTAAGGTCACGTAGTAGTTTTGAAAGGACTTATAACTGATGAATTAACTTCATAACACGTGATTACTTTTCATAGATGGGATCGAAAAGTGGCCAATAAATGTTATTTCTATTGAGGATCATTTGAGATAACCAAGAGGGGACTTTCCTTTAAAGTTGATGTGACCTTATTATTATACCTTGGAGAAAATTCAACTTCCACTTTTTGTCATATTTCATTGAAAAAGTTCTAAACTATTTTGACATTTTGTCAATCTTGATACAAATAAAAATTGATGTAATTGTTACATTTCAGAATTTAGTCTTTTTTTATTGTTGCAAAAATATTTACAACTATTGGCCTAGCTCTCTCAATTATTATTATCAATAGGAATAATAAGTTGAGGTATCTGGCCACAATTCACAAAATCAATTTTGTTCAATTGAACACAGCACAAAACTCTCTCTGGCAGCTCCTCTTGCTTCTGTGCCTGCATTATAATCCAAATATATCTCAGATCAAGAACAAAATCAAGGTAAAACTTATGTCCTTTTTTTTAGCTAATGGTAAAAACACATGTGAATTATCACTTTTTCACGAGTTTCACTCCCTGACTATCAACAGTTCCCTTTTTTCTCCACCTGAATTTCTGATAACTATACCTGAATTGTCAATCCAAGATCAAGAATTCCATGTTTCAACCGTTCTCGGAATGCATCAAATCCTTTCCTGGAGATGTAACTGAAACGATGAACATCCAAGTCTATTTCGAAGTAGCTGTCTCCCTGCACAAGAATCATCTGTGAGATTCAAAAAGATGTTTCAAATATATCATCTGTGAGATTCAAAAAGATGAAAATTTTATCAAAAGTATACTCCCTTCGTTCCATATTAGTTGTCATGATTTGATTCTCGAAAATCAATTCTTTTAAAATGTGTAGTTTAACACCGGAAAAGTGAAACATGACAAGTATTTTGAGAACGGAGGGAGTATTAAAGATCAAATCAGCTATGAGATCTCAAAGAAGGACTGATTTCAGAATTAAGAACACATTACCTCATAGAACGCGTGTTGAGGACGCGAAAGCACTGGTTTTTCATTATATGCATGTAAAAGCTTTTTCTCCGCGGGATTTAAATGAAGGTCTTCAGGATTGGCTAAACCAACCATAACTTTGAGTCTTTCTCTGAAAGGAACTGTTGATTCCTTTGCAAAACCCTTTACAGTTTCCATTTCATCCTTCACAAATCTCTGCGATAAGAACAAGTAGAAACGGATCAATTCATGTAATACAGATGACAGAAAGTAGTATTCAAGAAAATGAAAACAGAAAGAACAGGTCTATTACCTTTATACTGTCTTGAAATTGTGGAGAAACCTCTCTTTCAAAATTTTCTGATACTTTGAAATATAGTACAAGGCTCATTCCCTCTCCATCGTTTTCCCCAAGGAACATCGAAGTAGGGTAACTAGGCAGCTGCGACAACAAAATCAACAATGGAGCCTTAAGTTCATAATCACAACTAACAGAATAAATGTATCACACTGTCAAGAAAATGTCCAAGTCTTATTTATGGACCTGTATATTGACGACAAGCAATGATGGAACTTTTTCATGTGGCTCTACAAAGGGAAGTTCAAGATACCGTGCTATGTGAGATATCTTCCGCGGACAAACAAATAAATCAACACCAATAGGTACATAAGGGCAACAATTCGCGGCAGGAAGTTTCCTTTTATCCCTGCATTTGAGAAACATAAAGTCTTATTTGCAAATCTTATTGTACACAATGTAGATAAGGCGAATATTAACGTAACCATAGTAACATGCCTGAAGTAATTCATGCCTCGAAGCTTAAATATGGAAGGAGAAACCGGACTCCAACATCCTTGAGTAGATTTCACATCACTGGAATGTGGAATAAGACATCCTGCTCTTGGATGATACAAAAATCTTCTTGAATGACCTGCATTTTTATAAAGTCGTTTAGATTATGAAAGTATTCTATAGCATTTTCAGTTCAAGATAGAAGCACAATGTCTCCATCATGCAGTATCTTACTATCAGCAAGTGTTACAACTGATAACTTCCTTCGTTGAGATGTCAAACTTGGATCCTCCACTACATTTCTCCTCTTAGTAAAATTTCCATCTACCTGAATCAAGCATTGAGAATCAACGAATGATTGACTCGGAAGCCTTACCAAAGACATGAAGCAAAACTTTTCATTTTGAGCTTCACAATGCTAGTGTCACTTACACATGGTATATCATTGTTGTTGATAGTATCATAAAACCGTGAGTTGCTTTCAATTTGGCTTTGATGATCTAATGCGCTCCCAGCAGCAACGACTAGTGAAGGGCAAATTTCTAGAAGCAAAATTACAAAGAAAACTCAAAAATAGCTTCTTTTGGTTAATTACTGTTGGAATTTGGATAAGGATTTTTCGATTACCTCCAAGAACACTAGTGAAGTCTTCGTCTGAATCCGAGTCAAGGACACTGAAAGTATCAAACCATGCTTCCTCTTGGCTTAATCCTGCAAAACAAAAAATACACACTTCTAAAACCATTTAAAATACTAAACTTTCCTTGGCATCTAACTCCTATAACCAAATTAAAGGGCTACTATATTAGAAGTATCCATACCGGTTACATCAACTTGATGATAGTTTAGGGAATGATGAAATGCAGGACTTGACGCCCTGCTCTCGTAGTCTACTGTGACAAACTCACAAACATCAATGTCTCTTGCATACTCTCCTGCATCAGTAAGTTGCTCTATGGGTGCAACAGAAACAGAAGATGGTGCCTTTCTTCGAAACCTACGAGTCTTGGGAATGTACTTTGCTTTTAACTTAATCTTCTTAGACGGACTTGAGACACATCCACCCATATCTCAAGACTAATAAGTTCACAAACACCAGAAAACACCCCCTTCCTCCTTTTTGCATATATCAACGTCCGAAAACTGCAAGATTATAGCATTCAAAAACACCAATAAAGAAACTTTAGATATGACCAAAACAAACATGATTTCTGTTGTATTTTCAGAAAAGATGCAAAGTACTAATCATTCATTACCTCACATGCCAAAAAAGAACAAAAGGCTTAAATGACCATTTTGGAGGAGAGTGACCTTCATAAACAAATTAACATTTAGTGAATATTGAAAATGAAATACACATAACCAATACACTAATAATATGTTGATTGTTTTGTAGAACTCTATCTGAAATTGAACCTTATGAAAGCAAAAAAGATAACCTTTTCTGCAATAAAAATCATTATCTTTGGAGGATCAGATAAAGACTTTATTATATTTCAACAGGATGAATAAAATAGGAGATTTTGATAACCCCAAATCAAGAAAATGAAGAAATATCTCAAGATTGAAAGAGTAAACAAGAAGTCAGCCAAACAACAATAACAACATATCCAGTGTAATCTCACAAGTAGGGTCTAGAGAGGGTAGGACTTCACGAAGGCCTTCTAAAAGGAAAATAACGATAAACAAAGCAATCGAAGTAACAGATAGTCGTAAAACTTGAAGAATAAGATACAAAAAGTCAAGAAAAAGTCCTTTATAAAACACAAGGTGGCTACTATTAAATAGTTTGTTGTAATGGCTAAAAGGTCTCAATCAGATACCAGAATGATAGTATAAAATAACAACAATGACAAAAGAGATTTACCTAAAGCATTTAAGAGATTAACACAATACAATTTGTAAATTCATGGACAAATAAAAATTATATCTTTAAATTCAGAAAAAATTAAGTGAAATATAAAACTTTCTTGAAAGGTCATAGTTTGGAAATAAAGCAAATATCTTTTGGCATGCATTGAAGAAAACAAAGCTATAGGTCAACTAGAATTAAAAATAGTTGTCTTCATATAAGAAGAAATAAACAAGCTGGAAACTTGCATAATCATAAAAATAAATCAATATCAATAAGCAAATGAAAAATAAACAACAACAACATATTCAGTATAATCTAATCCCGTGGGGTTTGAGAAGGGTAATATATACACAAAAAGACCTTAGCCTTATGTTTAAGTTGTTTCTAAAAGCAAAATTGAAAAGATAAACAACAACAACAACAAAAAATGAAACTAAAGATGGAAAGTCTTAGAATTATATATATATTTTGGTTTCTCACGACTCATCGGGATTTACATGGCGTAAGACACATTTAAAAAGGAAAACGCTTTTTTAAACAAAAAAAAATCAAACTCAAAGATTAAACTCGAGACTTGTGACTTACAAATTAAGTATGGGGATCCTATCAATCTCACCACGACTGTTATCAGCGTATGATCAATTATATTTACTTGTAAAGAGAAGTCCACAAAAACAACATGATTAAAAATCAGTGTGATTAAAGAAAATCAATTATAAGATTCTAAGAAGAAAATGATGAAGAGAGAAATGAAGGGACTTACTTAAATCTTCCAATGTTCACTGGCTAATTCCAAATTAAAGTTTTGTTTATGTTCTAATTTGTACAATTCATATATAGTTAGCTACTACCCCCCACCTCCACCCCTAAAGTAGGGTAAAAGGGTCCCACACAATACACAAAATTGGATTACAACTATTGAAACTCTAATTTTTTTATTGATTGTCTCCTTTAAAAAAGGATATTGAATTTTTTATGTTCTCATATAATTTCACAATATGCATTCTAACTCATGATTATCTGTATATATGGCATGTCAAAGCTATACCACATAATCATTATGTATTTTATACCATAATATTTGTTTGGATACGATTTTTTTAATATATTTTATTAAAATTATAACCAAAATTTTGTAATTTTAAACGTACCAAGTTATTCAAATTAAAGCATATGTCATTATTATAGATAAAATAAA